TTCACGCTCACACAGATGCACTTGGCATCCGTCTTCATTGCTGCTCAAGCCCAGAAGCAGCTTTTGTTTTTCTGCAGTGGCATGAACCTCCTTGTCACTCCAGAAGCTAGAAAGAGAGACGTTTATTCATGCACACCGTCCCCTGCAGCCTCTCAGCCCTTCTGTAAGTGGGGCTCCCCTGGGTGCCAGCTGCAGACAGTGTGTGTCACTCAGGGGCGTCCTACCGCCCCCTTCCCAGGGCCTCCCCCACAGTGCAGTGGGCGTTGCCTAGTTTTGGGAGTGGGATGATTACAGCTCCCCTCCTCTGCTCCCCACGTGGCCTTCCCCAGCACAGTGGGGTGCCTTGGAATGCCTGCTGAATTGGCAAGTAGACCAAGCATCCCAACACCTGAGAGGATGTGCCAGGTGCCCCTGGAGCAGCCTGAGTCCGTGCTGTGGGGGGGTCTGAGCAGAATCCCTGGAGGATGAGGGCAAAGGGAGGGCTGCCTGGAGGAGGTGACATTTGAGCTGGGCTTTGCCTCACAGGGAAGATTTGCATGTGAGGAGATGAGGTCATCGGCTCTTGTGGACAGAGAAGAAAGAAAAGGACAGACAGATGGACCTAGAATTGGACACCGGTGGTTGGCCAGTTGCTGCTGGAATCCGGGGTCTTGCTGACTCTTGCCCTCTGAGGATGTGACAGGAGGTGCCGCGTGCCTAGCATCTAGAACAACGCCTGGCAGACAATAGGCGCTCAGGGTGTTGGGAGAGAGGCAGAGAGGGAGGTGGAGAGGGCCGAGCCACAGTGGGGTGGGCGTGGCTGCCGCCCTCCCCTCCCCTCCTATGCAGCTGTAGTGAGGGGACAGACATCGGAGCCCCTCTGGGGCAGCTTGTCACAGTCACCCTGCCTATGGTAGCCCTCAGGCAGTCCCTGGCTCTCCCCCCTCACTCCAGGCTGGGGAGGGGCGGAGGGAGGAGTGCGTTGGAGAGGGAGGTGTCGACATGGAGGAGGTGGTGTCCCCAATATGCGACTACAGAGGGAGAGCCAGGGACAGGAGTGGGAGGCACAGGGGAGAGCCCTGGGCTTAAAAAAAAGTCAGAGAGGGCCAAGAGGAGCAGGCAGCCAAGAGGAAGGGTAGGGCGCTAACAGCTCCCGTGAGAGTGCGCCCTGCCCGCCAGGCTCTGCCCCGAGCGCTCCACGTGCCCTCCATAGGTGGCCTCCACAACCTTGCAGAAAGGATTAAAATGATCCCCAGTTTGCATCTGAGGAAACGGAGGCCCAGAGAGGTGAAGTGACCTGCCCAAGGGTTCCCAGCTGCTGGGTGGCTGAGCTGTTCAGCTCCTCAAATCTCTGCTTGAAACCACCCCCTAGGAAACTCTAGAGGGCCTGGGGCTGAGCGAGCTGGCAGAGGGGACATGTAAGAAGTTGCTGGAAGATCAGCCGGGCCCTACCCCAACCATCTCAGGGCTGGGTCCCTGTTCAAGGATGTCAGGAAATGTTGAGGACAGTACCGGGGCCGCGTGCTCCTGCAGGCCGACAGCGAGCCTGTGGGAACCCCCTGCTCGGCCCTCCCTCTCTTCTTGCAGAACCGGGGTGAGAAGGGGAGCTGCCGGGCCTGGGTCTGAGACTGCTGGCGGGCTGGGCTCGCTGGGGAGGGCTCTGGGTCCTGACGCCTGGACAGCTGTCAGTCCATCTGCTGCCCCTGCCCAGGTGGGAGGCCGGAGGTGGTGTGGAAGGAGGATGAGCGGGAAGTCGCCTTGCTGTCCTGTTCTGCCACCAGCCTGGCACCTTCCTGGGCCTCCTGCCCTCTGCCGTGCAAGGGCCATTTTGACTCTGGGCTGTGCTGGGAGAAAACACCAGAAGTAGGAGACAGTCATCTAATTAGGAGGAGAGTGGATTCCTGGGGATGTGATTAGGACCAGGCGAGAGGTGAGCTGGCGAACAAACGAAACCACCTCGTCTCCGCGGGTTGCGAAGGCGGCTGCGCCAGGGTCCGCCAGGCCTGGCATCGATCGCCACCACCTTCTCCAGCTCCAGCTCCAAATTCAGGGACTTTTGCTCAGAGGGATGAGTCGGAGGCGGCATTAATTTTCTTCTGTTTTATTGTTGACAGATTAAAAAATATGGATATTTCAGACACGTATATAAAGTACAACAAACAGGGCACTGAGTGCCCACGTGCGCCCCGCTTGGCTGTCAGCAGCTCTCGGGCAGCGTTACTGCTTCTTCCACACTCTCCCCCCGGATGCCTTTGAAGGACATCCCAGACCTTGTCAAATCCCTTTATCCCTAACATTTCAATGCATGGCTTTCAAACCCTGGGCCTCAACCGGGGACAGTTTTGCCCCCGGGAGATATTTGGCCATGTCTAGAGACATTTTTCATTGTCACCACTGGGGGAGGGTGTGCCACGGCCTCTAGTTGGGAGGGGATGGGGGTGCTGCTCCACTTCTTCCAATGCACAGGACAACCCCCCAGTAAAGACTTCTCCCCCGAAGTATTAATGGTACTGAGGCCAAGACACCCTGTGCTGAGACACAGGGACTCTCAAAAACCAACCAAGCAACCAAGTGCACTATAATATCATTATCGGACCTCAAAAATAGCAACACTGTTTAAATTGACCATCAGATAGCCAATCAGAGCCTATGTTTAGAGCAGAAGTGGCGAACATCTGGCTCAGGGGAAATCATTTGGTCTGGCCCTGCCAAAGGAACTGTAGGCAGGACTCGAAATTCAATAAATCCAGGAGGTTTTTTCAGGGTTAATTTTTAAGTTGATAATTTTGTGTGGCCCTCAGATAATGTAATAAATATCCAAATGGCCCTTGGCAGAAAAAAGGTTCCCCACCCCTGGTTTAGAGGGTGGTGTTTTCATGCTATGTGCTCTTGGAGGCAGAGACCTTCCTGGCCAGACAGGAGAGGGGCGCCCTGCTCGCTGAGATTCACAGGTGGCTGTGTTCTAAACGGGCTATATTTGCATGGTTCTACATTCGGAAGGTGCAAAGGGTATAAGGTGAAAGGTCGCCGCCCAACCCTGTTCCCAGCCACCTGGTTCCCTCCCCAGAGATGCTATAACTGTTTTGTTTCAGAGCCGTGTGAGTACAGCTGAGTGTGCACCGCCAGGCCTGCACCTCCTTCTCTGTTGTTGTTTTGACCCTGTGTCTTAGAAAGCGGTTCAGAGCTGTGTGTGGAGAGTTGCCCTGTTCTTTTTCACAGCTGCATAGTATTCCTTGCAGGGCCATAGCTTCTTTTACCAGGTTGTTGCTGTTACAGAGGGTGCTGCAGTGAATGATGTAGAACATGCCATTTTAGAAAGACCACAGAACTGCAGTGAGAGGGTTTAGTTGCTCAGAAAATCCGGAACACCAGTCATCCATTTCCCCCGCCCTCAGCCTCCCCCCAGCCTTCTGGGGACTTGGTCATTTCCTGAGTGAGCTCAGTGGGAAGCGTACTGGGGCCTGCCTGGGGGGCATCGCAGGAGCTGAGCTGAGCCATGCCCTCTCCGTAAGAGGCTTCCTCAGTGGAAGGTGTGCCCCGACTCTACTTGGGGATAGGGACACCAGAGGCATAGGCTAGGTGGGCAACCACTTGTCCAGCGGGAGTCCCTGACCCTCTTGCCCCCAGAACGTTCCCCACCCTCAGTTGCCATAGGGACTGAAGTTCTCGCCACAAGTTCTTTTTGGCCATGATTGAATCTCAGTGATTCCTTAAAGGGCTAAATTTTAGATTTGACATCACCCGTTCACCTTCACACTGGACAGCTGAGGGCAGGGCAGAGGGCACATAGGAACAGTGTGTTTGGGGTGCACTGAGGTGGGAATGGAGAGCATCCGGCACTGAGCATCCCTGGGGAGCCAGGGGCAGTGTGAGTGCCTGTGAGGAGGGCACTGGGGATGTGAGTGTGAGGCCTGGGAGGAGGGGAAGGCGCAGGAGGGTCCACACGGCCCCTTCCACATCCTTTGGGGATGGTTGATACCAATCATAAGAGGAAGGGCAGCTTAAGGGCTCCAAATCTCACCTTTGCCTGAGAGTGGGGAGGTTGGGGCTGTGGGCCAGGAAAGTGCTCCATGGCAGGGGAAGTGGGGGGCTGGAGGCAGCAGGCCTGGAGTCTGCTGTTGAGAGGCTGTGGGGCCCGTGGGCCCCTGCCTCTCTGGGCCCTGAGTCCCAGGCTGTGAAGGGAGGGACTTCTCAAAGGCCCTGCCCACTATGGCCTGCCCGGATTCCATGGAGGGTAGGGATGGGGGGAGCTGGAGCCTGGGCTCTGTCTCCTCTGAGCTGGACAGGAGGAAGGAGCCTGAGCCCAGAGGGAGTTGTGGGGACAGAGTCTGCTGGGTGGTGACCTAGGGGATACCTGGGGGAAGGAGATGGACCCTCAGGGTCCCCTCTTACTACCTTTAAACCCCCCACCCCCAGGCCAAACCATCCCACACACCTGGGGATTTCCCCAGCTGGAATCTTTCAGCTCTTTATGTAAATTGAGGCACCCAGAGGTCCCTGGGGTGTGTGTGCATGCATGTATGTGCCTATGCATGCACGTGTGTGCATACGTGTGTGTGTGCATATGTGTGCACATGTGCACATGTGTGAGATTCCCGATGACTTCGTGGTGTGTACTCGTGTGCTTTTGGGGGACCACCAGCCACAGGACCGAAGTGAGCTAGCTGGGAGATTTTCTGGAGGAGGGCTTGACGCTGACATGCCAGCCTCACTCCTGTTGGGAGTGGGGAGGGTCACAGCGTGAAGCAGGATCAGGGAGAGCTGACAGGAGGTGGGAGGCATCAGGATCCTGGGCTGGAGCCAGGGGCAGGGCCAGCCACCCATTTGCCCGTCCTCTCTGGGCCTCAGTTTCCTCCATGTCATAGGGTTCCCCCCAGGATTAGAGGAGGCAGTGCCCATGGGAAGGGCTGGGGCGGTTCCAAGGCCATGGGGCAGGAGGGAGGTTGGTGTGTAGGAGTGTGGTGCTGGCTTGGCAGGGTGGGGGTACCGACTACCCCACTGGTGGCTCCTCTCACCTCCAGATCCCCCAGATCAGCTACGCCTCCACAGCCCCCGACCTGAGTGACAACAGCCGCTACGACTTCTTCTCCCGCGTGGTGCCCTCGGACACGTACCAGGCCCAGGCCATGGTGGACATCGTCCGCGCCCTCAAGTGGAACTACGTGTCCACGCTGGCCTCGGAGGGCAGCTACGGCGAGAGTGGCGTGGAGGCCTTCATCCAGAAGTCCCGCGAGGATGGTGAGTCAGGTGCCCGCCTGCAGGGTCATGCTTGGGGATGGGGTGGCAGGGTGGGTGTCACAGTACCACGGCCGAGCACAGCCCGAGAGCCATTCTCTGGGCCCTGCTGTGGGCCCTGCCTGCCCTGGGCCATGTCCCTTGTGGGCCTCAGTCTCTCCTGTGAGCACTGGGGACTGGCCTGTGGCCTTGCCAGGAGCTGGTGACTTCTGCGGGCAAGGGGTGGTTGCGAATGGCTTTTGCAGACGTGGCCAGGCAGCAGAGGGACTGTCCACGTTCCTGGTGTGGGAGCTGGTGAAACAGCCACTGTTCTTGGCAAAAGGGAGGGGCAGGGGTGCCAATGGAGGTGGCCTGGCTTAAGGGGCTTCAGCAGGCCAGCTAGCAGGCTCTTGGAGGAAGGATTGTTTGAGGGATCAGGAACGCGGAATCCCTAAGATTGAGCAGTCTGGTGGGGTGAGGGCAGGGGCTGCGGGAGTCACATCTCACTGCTGGCTCGGGCTTCAGTGAAGTAGGTGCCCTATGGGTGGGATTTGAGGACTGTGGGAAAGTGATTTGCTCTCCTCGAGGCACCCTTCCACAGGCCCCTTCCTTGGTTAAGCTCACTGCCTTCCCTTAATTGCGTCAGAAACTCTGCTGATAAAGCTCTTGCCATCAGCAAGCGGTAAGAGGGTGACAGAACAGGGTTTAACACCTTGGCCGCCAAAGCCGGGGTCTCTGAGTGGCCCTGACCAGGGAGGGCAGCCTCCATGGGGCTGCGGCTGCGGCTCTGGGCTCCCGGGGAGCAGGTGGGCCCTGGGTTGGGGGCTCCACCTGGGTTGGGTGAGTTCTGCCTAGAGAGGTGGCTGGCTGAGGGCCTCAGGGATGAGGGATGGTGCGGGCGTGGAGCGGGTCGTGGGAGGCAGGCCCGCCTCCCTGTGGAGAGGGCTCCCTCTGGCCTCTCCTGGCCTCTCCCAAAGCCCTGCTTCGAAATAGCTTCTGTGGCACCCTCGACCTTGGGGGATGGTGCCTGTATATTTATACCCATATAACCCGGCGCTCTAATTGCTTTTTCTAAGGACCACAGTGTCCAGAGGCTGGCGTTGGTAACACCCTGCGGGCATAATCCTGCTATAAATCTTGGATAAGCCTCTTTAATTGTACAGCCGAAGCCTCTCGGGTGCCCGCGACCTGGCGGGGAGGGTGGCGGGCAGAAGTGGGGCAGCGTTGAGTGATGGCTGCGGCTCGGGCAGCTGGGCCCGCAGAGGGACGCG